GCGATCGGAGGTGTGGGGCTCCTGGCTGGGGGGGGCCCAGCTCTGGCTGGTGGCACGGCTCCCCTTGAAGAAGAGGTTGACGAGGGTCTTGGAGCGGTGCAGCCCTGGTGGGGCCCCCCGTGCCCCTTGTATCTCCGGCTTCTCCTTCTTCCGCTTCTCCTCTGGGGACAGAGAAGGGGGTTGGAGTGGAGGGGCTGGGGGATGCCACCCCAAATGGTGTTTGGGGGCTGGGAAGAGGCCTGGGCTGGGAAGCTGGGGAGGGGGGCTACTGGGAGGCACTGACTGGGGAAGAGAGACCTGCTGTGGGGTGCAGGGGGATCTAAAGGGTGTGTGGGGCTGGGCTTTGGGGTGCTCTGCAAGCCCCGAGGACAGGACTGGTGCTGTAGGGAGCCCAGGACTGGTGGCCAGGTGTTCAGATGGGGTGGTGGCCAGGGACTCAGCTATCGGATGCCCAGGAGTGGGGGACAGGTATCCGTGTGGGGCAGGGGCTATAGGATATCCAAGCAGGGGACAGCTTCCACGTGGAGCAGAGGCTGAGCTATGGGATGCGCAGATCTGGGGGCGCAGGGTTGGAGGGGAACCCCAGCCAGGAGCGAGTCCCATGTGTGGGGCTGTGCTCCAGTCCCTACCAGCAACAGTGAGGTCGCTCTGGGAGCGTGTGATGGGCTGCCGGGGTCGGCTCAGTGCCAGCAGCGAAGTTCGGGAGGCGGCCCCGTGCGCCGCGTCTCTGGCAGCCCCTCAGTGGCTGGCTCGGTCTGCATGGCCCGCTCGGCACGCTCCCGCGCCCAGACCCGCCGTGGCCCATCCTCCGTGGAGATGGCTACGTCGACGGTGCGAGTGGGAGGCCCGGGGGTGGCCGTCCCCAGTCCGTTCACCACCCCCGGCGCTGGCCCCGAGGAATAGGAGGAGATGGAGGAGCTGGTCTCCGAGGCCTGAGACAGCTGCTGCAGCTGCCCATTGGTCACTGCAAAGGCACAGCGAGGACATGGGGTGACACACCATGGAGCCTCAGGGAGCTCTGCTTCCACCCCGAGGACAGAGGACAAGGCTGTGGAGACCAGGTGGCTGCTGGACATTGCACAGGGCTCTACAAGGATGGGGACATGTGGGACCCTGCAGGATCACAGGGACCACGGCGCTGCTGGCCACAGCATGGGGCTTTTCATGTCCCCTAGAAGAACGGGGGGCAGGCGGGACCCTGTGTGGTCATGGGGACCATGGGGATGCTGACTGTGACACAGGGAGCTTCATGCCCCTTCCAAAGCCATGGGACCCCATGGCATGAGGACCTTCTCCCTCCCCACCAGGGCCAGCCACCCCTCGCACGGGGGTCCCAGTCCCCCCCACATCCCAGTCCAGTGGCCTTGCCGGTACCCGCGCAGCACTGCCCTTACAGCGACTGAGCCAGCAGTACTCGGCCACCATCTCCTTGTAGGCAGGGAACCGGCCGGTCTCCTAGGCACAGGGGGAGAGGACATGGGGGTCAGCGCGCACTGGGAGAACCCGATCCGGTGCCAGCCATGAATAATGCATCCCCCCTGCCTCCCACCCGCCTGAAACCCAACCAGCCAGTGGCCGCGCCAGCCCCACAGGCGCCAAGCCGAGCTGGGGCAGCGCCAGCGTGGGGACACACCGACCCCCTCCACCTCACCCAGGGGTCCCGCGGGGCCAGCGGCGGGTACCTTGATGGTTAGCATGATGTGGGTCTGCCCCTTGAGCACCTCCACTGCCTTGCTATGGCTTATGTCTTCGAACTTGACTCCATTGGCTGCAAGGACTTGGTCTCCCACCCGAATGCCGTTCTGCTCCGCCAGCCCCCCGGGGTCCACCCTGCGGGGGGACACACACAGGATTGGTCTGAGCCCTTGTCGGAGCCCTACTGCTGCCCCACACCTCTGTCTGGGCGGCCCCATGCCCCAGCACCCACCGTGGTGATGCCCACAGTCTTATGAGGGTGGGGGGCTCAGCCAGGGAAGGGGTGCCAAGCCCCAGCATGGGCACAGAGGGGCCTGGGGTGCTGCGTGCCCCCCAGGGCGGACATACTTGGAGACGTAGATGCCGAGGCCGAACTCCCTGCCGCCGCGGATGTTGAAGCCCAGGCAGTAGTCATCGGAGGTGGTGTAGAGGTGGACAATGCGCCGCAGCCCATCCTCGGAGCCGCTCTCCGATGGTGTTGAGCCGCTTTTCTCCACCACCAGACGCCTGTTCACCACATCCACCCTAGAGCATGGGAACAGTGTTGGGTGGGGGGGGGCCTCGGGGGGCTGGCTTTCATCCTCCTGCAGCATGGGACCATTGGTATCACCCAACAGAGGAAGAGTGATGGGGATGGGGGATGCTGAGGATGGGGCTTGCACCCACCCTACCTGCTCCGGACCTTTCTATCCCATCCTGTGCCCCACCTTGGGCTCTCCCCACCTTTGTCAGAGATCACCCCCATCCTGAGGGTCCTGCATCTCTAGGACCCTCCCTGCTCCCCAGCAACCCCCACTGAGCCTCCCCACTATGCCCTCCCATGAGGCTGGGCTTTGGGGTGCTGGTATGGGGGATGCTCTGCTCACCATGCCGTCTTCTCCTTGGAGAACTTGATGCCTGGCACGCGGCCCATCCGCCGGACCACCATGCGGAGGCGGTTGTTGCCAGTGAGGACCTTGACAGCGCTGCTCATGGTGATATTCTCCAGGCTCACGCTGTTCACTTCCGTGATCTTGTCACCAACACACAGCCCGGCCTGCTCTGCAAGGGGCACACAGCTCGGCTGGGCACCTGACCCGGCACCAATGTCCTTGTTTGGCATCCAACCTGATCTGAACCCCATGGGATGTTCCTAAATGTGTCCCCAATCTGATCCGAACCCCATGGGAACGGAGGCGGTGATACCTGGCAATCTCACGGAGGCTGTAGCAGGTACAGGGAGCTTGTCACCTCACTGTGGCTTGGGGATGGAGCTCAGAGCCATTGGCACAGGGCTACCCGCTCCAGTCCCCAACCCTTCTCCATGGGCAGCCTGAAAACCCCACGGCCAGAGGCAGCAGGGAGCAAATGGTGACTTGCCACCATGAAGGGTGGCATTGCTGCTGTGGCACTGTCACTAGGAGCTTCCCAAGAGGGTCTTGCTGGCACATGCCTGTCCCCACCAGCATCCCTCGCCCTGTCCCACTTACCAGCAGCGCTGCCCTCTTCCACCTTGCTGACGAAGATGCCCAGCCCGTGCTCGGAGCCACCACGGACGCTGAAGCCCAGCTTGCCGTCCACGCTCTTCTCCACCGTGATGGCATTGATGATGTCACTCTCATTGCTGCTGGCTGTGGGGACGGGGGACGGGATGTGTCACCCGGGGCTGGGTGCAAGCAACAAGGGGTAGGGGGGTGTCTCTTTTGCTGGGGATGTCCTCAGTCCCAGGACAACTCTCCCAGCCCACAGACCCGGGGAACCCAGGTGCCGAGCCACCCCCCGGCCATGTGGGTGGGCAGGGGGCTGGGAGGGCACCCCACGCACCTTCGATGGGGGTGTTGATGAGGATGACGCGGCCCATGGGGGAAGCGGCACGGCTGACCCGGGTGGCCCCATTGAGCAGGCGGCTCTGTTTGCTGAGGAGGCAGCGGGGAGCCAGGCTGGCCTCACTGCTGGAACTCCGCGACCGGCTGCCCGCCGTCATCCCCGACAATGCCGCGTCCCAGCCCTGGGCCATGGCGGCGCTGGGCCCCCCGGCGTCCCGGCGTCCGGCTCAGGGCTGGCCGTGTCCTCACGGGGCTGGGGCTGCCCGCTGGCCAGGGGGGGACATGGCATAGTCCAGCAGCACATGCCCGGGCTCGGGCACCGCTCCCTCTTAGCAGGGCGATGCTGGGGCCGGCTGGCGTGGGCGCTTGGTGCTGGCCGGACGGATCCCGGGTGCGGTGGCACAGCCTGGGGGGACAAGGAACTTTGTGACCCCCCCCCCTCTCCAGCCCTCTCCCCTCCCTGTCCTACAGGGCCCTGGGGGACAAACCCAGGGCTCCTGGGTACCACCGTGGGGGTGGCAGGCACAGGCTGCCCTGGCCCTGAGCAAGGTACCGAGCTGAAAAGGGGCTTTGCCTGGCGGCGTAAATCCGGAATAGGGAGGGCAAAGGGGTTTTACCCGGTGGTGTAAATCCGGAAAGGCCCTGGAGAGGGGACGTGGGGACCTCAGCTTTACGCCGGAGAGCAGGAACTGACCTCCCCGTCCCCCTCCCTGGGGAAGCTTTGCAGCAGGAGGGGGGCAGAGTCCCTCCTCATCCTCCCCGGAGCCCCTCCG